CCAATCACGTTGTTTTCTAACTTTTCTTTGATCTTTACATGTTTCCCTTCAGGGCTTTCACCGGATTCCTCGGTTGCATGAAAATTCGACGTACAGTTACAGCGGGCAGGCGACAAAGCACAAACAACGAGTGCGACAACATTGAAAATCCCACCAGCCACTCGACCACCTTTCGGTCTTTTTTCGCTCATCCACCCACCTTTCGGCCTTCCCCGACCTGGGGATGGGCCTGTAATTGCCGGCTCATGAGCAGTCTGTATTTGGCTTCAGTGCACAGCAATTGTAACGGTAACAAAATGATGCTTCCACATTGCTGTCAGATTAACGGAGACATCGGAGTCCTCCAAAAATGAGGAGCAGAATGGCGTCGAAAAACGCGCATTCAAAAACACCCGTTGAGTTTTCTCATCTTCAAAACTTCGCTTATGCTTGGTTCACTGCTTTTGGTAAATGTGATGTTTGGTCCTCACATTCCTGGCACCTTTTTTTCTTTTTTCACGGTCTTGAAATGGATAAAAAGTGCAATATTATTCTATGGCGCGAAAATCGACATCATTGTTTCAACCAGGACTGCTAAAAAAAAACAATCTAGGTTAGTTCTGATGTGACTTTTCGTCATTCACGGGTTACACAGGTAAACAACTGGTTACTCTCGTGTTGTACAACTTCCCTAGTGGCAACTCATGGCCACGTCTTGTTCATTTTAAGGCATGTCTTGCAAAAGCACCCGAGCGGTAACCACAGTCTCTTTAAATGATGCCGATGCCCACTTTAACTTTAAGAGTACGCACATTGACCTTTTCCACCTATACATTCAACTTTAGACTGGGACATGCTTACCCAACATTTCGAATCGCTTCCCTTCAAGGAACAATGATTCAACATATATTTGTTCCTTGAACGTTTGTTTGTTGCCCGTTTGTCGGGCATCTTTAGTTTTCGGCATCGCCATTCAGGAATCCGAATCCGCCGATGGGGATAACTGTCGTGTCACAAGCTTTATCAGCTGCTACCACAATGACTGCGATTGGACGTGAGGCTGGTTGAGAGGGGAATGCAAGCTCATACTCACGTTCCCGTCTCGACTCTATTCACCTTGACCTGTGGTATGATACCATTCTAATCAGGATTGCAGAGGTCAATTGAAATATGTGGGGTACAACCTGATATACAATACTGTTGTCAGCAGGAAAATCACAAAATACGCGCATTTCGCAGGCAAACAACATCACATTTCGTGAAAATTGGGGAATATATCCCCCAGCGGTTACACTCATGGTCTTCGAGTGTGTTTATCAATTTGTATCTGTATTTCTACTGTATAAGAAATGGTAGAAAGACTGGGGCGAGCAAAAGCTATGTAACAATACCTACTTATGAAATGCACCCAGGTCAACTTGGGTCACTCGCACTTTAACGATGTGATATGAACCAAATAAGCATTTGCCTAGTTTTGATGGGATAATTGCCGACAATTTAACATACAGGCTTGATGTGAAAATGCCAAATTATTTTAGGGTGATCTAAGCCTCAATGTGGTATATGGGCCAGCTCCCTTGATACACGTATGTTACGTCCGTTTGGCCCTTAATTCAGTTTCAGGTGCTAAACAAGGACGGGCACGCTGCTCGTCGTAAGAGGAAGCCAATGCTGTCCGCCTTTAAAGTGTAAAACACCTAAAAAGCTAAAACATGGTTTGCAGCTACACCTGCACGTAACGTTACCTGTCTTTCCCTCTTATCCTTGTCGCACTTTGGTGCGCTTCATAACACTCCCTCCTCTTCCATGCGTGACGCAATATATGGGCGGCCCTTTTCACTGTACTAATTATACGATGCTCTACCTTTACTGTAAGCCAGTGCATCGGGGTAGCCACGTGGAGACATGCTCTCAAGATTTTCACAAAACGAAATTGCAGTTCTTCCAGTTTTGCTCGTTGAGCGCGCGATGCGATGTTCATGCTGTCATTCGGAATGCTATTCTCCGGTCAAGTTGTCCCCCCCTTCCTGCACGGTCCAGCATGACCCGTCCGTTACTATTTTGCCCCCCCCCCCCCACTCTCACGGGCGTGGTTGCACATGTGGGTCGTGATATGCCAACATTTATTTTCGAATCACGGTTACCACCTTATTCTGAGAACAATTAACTCGACGCTTTTAAGAAGCCACAATCTCTTTAACTCAAACTACCATTGCGAACGCAAACATGAGCCCAACTCCCCATCGGTTTGTTTGCTCATGATGCCATGACATGTCTGCGCATTTGCGGTGCGCATGTACGACGATATTCGCCACATGACGAACACGGACAACTAGAGCAGCGCCAACCTCATTGACACACGGCCTAAGCAAGGGTTTGAAGCCAGATTAACAACGTGGCGCTGATCTTCCCACCCAGCCTAGTTGTGTCGAACCAGCCGACATAGTGGTTCAGTACCTTCTTCGCGCAGCCAGCAAACGAGGGGCTTTAAAAAACACGGCCGGGCTGTTGAGCTCTGAGGCACATCTTTCCTCACACATTTCCTTCCAAAGTTGCTGCGTCCCTCATATGCGCCAGCAAACGCAGCGCCAGCGCATCAGGTTGTCCGTGGCGTCAGCCCCGCTCCCAGCGCGCCGGCCTCAGCAGCACCAGCTGCTCCCACCTGACACTGCACCCCACCGCTCCCGTCCGGTGCCACCCGGCCGTGACCGGTCCTTGTGAACGGAAGTGGACAAAATCACGGTCCCGATTGGGGTTCACCTCCCCTCCCCGGCCTTCCCACCCAGATCGGGAAGCGGCGCTGGGCGGATCATGGCGCCGGCCCAGCCGCCTCGGCGCGTGCTGAAGGAGCAGCGGCAGCGGCAGGGGCGGTGGAGGCGGCGGGCGGGCCACCGCAGTGCACGTGCTCAACCGCGCAGCCGACGGCCGTCAGCGTTCGCGCGGTCGGCAAACTCGCACATAAATCGGGAGCAGGCGCCGCGCCGCGCGGCCGCCGAGACTGGCCGGGCACAGCGCACGGCAAGTGCCACTCCACGCTCGGGCGCGGCCGGATCACGGACACGGAGGCGCCGCTGGGGACGGCCGGGCCACGGACACGGAGGCGCCGCTGGGGACGGCCGAACCACGGACACGGAGGCGCCGCTGGGGACGGCCGGACCACGGTACACGGGGGCGCGGGCGGGGACAGCCGGACAACGGTACACGGGGGCGCCGACGGGGACGGCCGGACCACGGGACACGGGGGCGTCGCTGGAGACGGCCGGACCACGGGACACGGGGACGCCGTTGGGGACGGCCGGACCACGGTACACGGGGGCGCCGACGGGGACGGCCGAACCACGGACGCGGGGGCGTCGCTGGGGACGGCCGGACCACGGTACACGGGGGCGCCGACGGGGACGGCCAGACCACAGGACACGGAGGCGCCGCTGGAGACGGCCGGACCACGGTACACGGGGCGCCGCTGGGGAAGGCCGGTCCACGGGACACGAGGGCGCCGCTGGGGACGGCGCTGGGGCCGGGGGCAGTCAAAGCAAGAACGGCTACCGCGTGTGACCTGGGCGGCGGGGGCACGCGACAAAAAGCGGCTGTCCTGTAGCCGAGGGGGGCGCGCGGCGCGTTTCGGGAGACAGCAGGTGTTAGCCGCGAGTGAGGTGGTTGACAACGAGACGGTGGCGGCCAGGGATGACCCGGTTGTCACGTCGGAACGGAGACACGGCTGCGCTACCGTGCCACGATCGTGGCGGGGTGCTGTAGCGCTGGCAAGCTCCGCTCCGGGCGGGCGGCACGGGCCGTGGGAGGCGACCAAGTGGCCAGGGAGACACGTGCACCCGTGCCGTGACACGGTGACCCCTGCGCCGGTCGGGCTCCGCTGGGGGCGGCCGAGTCGTGAATCTTCAAGGTTTATGCCTCCAGGTGCGCTGATGGCGCGCCGCATTCGCTAACGAGATGCCCAACAATAACTGTGCGACTCAACAGCCAAATTAGTGTTGTTGGTGATGAAATAAAACCTGCAGGAACGTGACGGTCCAGGGCTCGAGGGCTGGTGCCACCTGGTCTTTGAGGGCCATGCGGGAGCTTTGTCACAAGAGAGGGGAGGAGGTAAGACCCCTTCCATCCTTGCCTTCGTGGAATTCGATGTAGCGATTGAGTCTAAAGTTGCATTAGAAGAAATCCTTTGAAAATATCGGTATCTTCCTCTATTTTAGACTCGTGGCGAGTCACTGCTTCCATGCTAGATAAAAGCTGTGGGGCAGCCGCTGCGCAATAAACGCGGACGATGCACTCCGCACGGGGAGGATAGGAAAATGAGGAAAATATACTTGAGGAAAATATTCGGTGCTTACGGAGAGTTCCATCAGGATGCGATCCTCAAAGCACAAAGAGGACAACGTTCAGAGAAATTCGGATTCGAATATACGTTCTAGCGTTCAGCTCGATTTTAAGAGCATATTTAATGGACGTTGCTGTCAACATAGTTGGGAAGCGCGTATCTATATACACATTACGTCGTTTGGCAGCAGTCAAATGCGAACCGTTCACTTGATTTTGGCTACGAGGAAGCCCCATACACACCACTGCTACACAGTTTTAATTCTGGTGTTGACTGATGATGTCCGTTTTGACCAACACAGCTGATGCAAACTTCAAGTTTTGCACACATTAGTTGGCTGGCTTTCAAAATACTTGCAGCAGGAGGGCAAAAAATGTACGGGAAGCCGAGTACCTGATCTTCTAATTTGTGCGCACGAGTTATCTAGCTAAGCCTGGATACATGAGCTGCGGCAACGAGCGTTGTCAAACTCACTTTCATGCTTCCATACGCTGCGGTTTGCACCCTGCATGACAGGTAGGCCTGTTGCAGCGAGACCCCAGCCAACCCGGACGGCGGGCCGCTGGCCGGGCCGCCGTCGGCCTGCTTACGTTCGACTGCGGGTTGCTCCGGGCGTGCGGTCGCCGTCTGTCGCTGCGCAGTGGTCGGCGGCGGCGGCGCAGCGGCGGTCGGTGCAGGCTGCGCTCACCTAGGCGCCGGTGCGGCCGTCAGCGCCGAACAGCGTCCCCAACACCACCATACCCGGTCCAGTCACTGGCGCACAACCCGCCGAGCGTCTGCCGCCGGCCAGCCAACGGACCATGCGCGCTGACCAGCCGCCGGTCACGTGACCGCCGCGCCGCGCGCCGATTGGCCGCCGCCGAGATGAGGGGCGGAGCCGGCGGGCGGAGGCTGGAAGTGACAGGAGAGCACGAAATTAATGTGGAGGACGCGGCCGGCAAACACCCGAGTTTTGGATGCCGGACAGAGATAAAAGATGGCTACCTTAAACTGTGATGTGCCATTTCTCGGACGGTCGGCGGTCGCGCGCGGCCGACGGCCGGCCGCCGGCTCCCCGCCGTCGAGGTGAGACACATTCCGGACCGAGGAGCCCAGCTCCGGCGCTGCGCCCACGAGCACGGCCAGACGGGCCTGACGGGGCGGGGGCAGCGCCGGAGCGGCACAGATGCGCGCCCGGAGGTGGGAGCGGACGCGATGGTGGCCTCACCGTCACCCCAGAGCTGACGATGATAGGTTTCAGTCGCGCTGAAACAAGGAACATTTGTGAGGGGTGAAATGGATCGAGAGTTATCTACACCGTAATGTGAATGGACTCAGTCTTTTCGTCACGTGACATAAGTAACACTTATGTCACGTGACTAACTAGACGCTTATCGCGCAGCAGTAGAATGAAGTACGATTTCGAAACTCATCGGCCGATGGCGGATAGTTCATCTAGTGAAAGACGTTCGAATGCCCAGTAATGTGACCACAGCTGTTTCGAGGGGTCATTATTTTCAGTCCGCATAACGTAGAATTTCGCTGGATCGCATTTGAGAGGGATTTTTGGACTGGATCGTCATTATTTGTCGGCCCAGAATCTAGATCCGTCCCGAACAAAATCGGTGTCGTTAAACATATGCAGCCAATTGAAGCATATTTTATCAGCAGAACGGGACCGTTCGGCCTCCTGCAAGTCACTGAATGCTGCTCAACTTATTTAAAAGTTACGCCTCAAATTTATATGGGGTTTTGAGCTGAGATAGGCAGATGCTATATAAGGCACTTGATATAATTCAACTTCTGAAACTTGAAGTGACTAGTCCGGGGCACATGTCTTCGGGGGTACAGTTTATGTGTGACATACTCAGCAATGACAATACACGAATGCATTGGAGGCTCTGCTACGTCGGCGGATGTCTCAAAGGCGAGGCATTCCCTTTGGAGATTTACTTGAACGAAGGTGTTTGATATGGGCAGGTGGATGATGCCTCCCGTACCAAGTAAACAAGCAGCTCCAAAAACTAAGAACATTCGGAAACAAGTGTTATTTCGACGTTATGGAGGTGAACCGATGTGCATCATTCACACGTAAGGAGCCCGTTCAGCAGGGCTGCCCTGGAATATTGTGACTCGCTTCTTTCCATCTACAGCCACAGGCGCGATCACTTATTTCTCCAAATGCTGCCGTAAGCTATCCAAACCCCTAATTCGGCGCCTATGGCCTCATTTATAGGGGAACCAAAGGCAAACGCAGTCAAGGGCGCACGTCGCTGTTCTGTTCCGACAGCAAGTGCGGAGCCCCGGACGTTGATGGGAGCATGAAGTGGGAGTGTCATTGGCGTACAACCTCACATTGTCCCATGCGGCAAACGTAACTGTGGGGATCCTGAAGAAGAAAGAAGAAATATATTTCCATAGTCTGTATAGTTATTTTTGACGATCCAGATATGTTATTTTTAAGGCCACCCTTGAGGGCTCCTGTGGGGGACACCTCGAAATCGGGCCGTCCCCTCGAAAACGCAACTGTGAGCACCGGGGAGAAACCGGCAGGGGAGGCACCAGGAACTCTTTAAAGGGCGGGCAGGCTAGTGCTCATGGTGGGCTTCCGTTGTAGCGGAGCCTCTGCAGGTTAGAGGGCTTCCCTACAAATTGCAGGTTCATTATGACCCGAATTGCGCTGCGCCGAAGTCCCTAAGCGTGCATGCATGTTCCTCTTAGGAACATAGACGAAGGCGAAATAAATTCTGTTTTTAATGTGCAGTCAGTTGTCAGTGCGTTAACCCACAGGAGAACCAGTCGTTTTGGAAAAAGCGCTGAATGATAATCGAGCCCATGTTCCTGAAATTCGAAGCAATTCGTTTTGGTCATATTTTATTCGGGGCAAAATCTAAGCAGGATATTCTCAGGGTGGGCGAAACAAAACTGCAAAGAAGGCTGTGCTACTTTCCGTCTGAGTCTATCCCAGATACCATGTCATTCCTCGTCTGCGTAACAGATCCCTTCTTACTCCGGCCTTCTCTCAGTGGCAACAAGGACCTCGTGTCAGTCGCGACAAGAGTATATCTCCCGCTAGGAGCCAAGAAAGTCAAGAAAAGGGTCTTCTCTTGGCCTGAAGACAGCTTTTTGCTCTTGCCCTGGCAAAACCACAAGCGTCGAGACAAGAGCACCCTGTTAAATCAGTGACCCTATCCGTCACAGTTGTCTTCAGGGTGGAGCAGTCTCGGTCCCTAGAGAGGTCTCCCACCGTACCTTGAATCTACAGTATGGGAGGTCCTTTCATCCTGCACTAAGTAACATCGTTTTATCATTTTTCCTTTATTCCTGCCCTTCACGATTGTACATTATAGGGCTTTAATTAAGAAATCGGTTCACGTGCTCTTGGTCGAAGCAGGGCCCCCAGTTGTACACCGGCTTGAGTCCATCCAGCTTATCAGCACTACAAAACCGCTTGTTGTGCTGGGTTACGACCTCCTCTAGGTAATGGTGTGCGCCTTCTGTCGTATTTTAGCCCTAAGGCATCTCAGAAGATTTCACTTCCCAATAATTTTATCCTTCATTATAGGTACCTCCTGCAGCAAGACCATCCTACCATGCCAGATTCTTTCATAATCCGGACCTACTCCCGAGCATTACGACTCCATACTGCTGTTTCTGTAACATTGCTCTTAATCGTGTACCCTGGGCACATCGTGACTTTTGAGGGGCCTTATGAAATATCGGCATGCTGCCAGCCCCACCCGGAGCAGCCTCCTGCGGCATGCGAAAGGCATGCGACGCGATCCATGACCTCCGAGCCGGTCAATCCTCTGGACGGCTTTGAATGCTGGCACGTCCTGATGGTTTCGTTGCCTCGTTGGTCCTCATTTGGGTCCAAACATTTCGCGAGGCTGGGTGGATTGTTGTCGCTATTTTAGATCCGTACATGTTGCAACAATCAGACTTTGCTCCTTTCACAACCTGCACTTGTGTGGTAGAAATTATTCCAGGTCCGTGAGTAAGAAACTCTTTACCATTTCCACAACACGCACAGAAGAATTCGGAAGGTTTCATAGCCATAATGCATCTGCAGATGGGTAATTTGTCACCCATTTTTCCGCACAAGGAAGGGGAAAAAATTCAAATGGGAAACGCAGGCTGATCCCACAACAGTTACGCTGGTCCTGAGGCGGCGCAAAACAGTGCACATTACGCTGGTGGGTGTATTACGCTACCAAGCTGCTTAGTTATGCTATATTTTGGACGTTTTGGCAGTGCTGTCCAGGTTCGGCGTATGCTTGCAAGTTGACATCCTGGGATGCTTGTACGATTTGGTGTCTCTTCACATGATAGGATTGAATCAGGTTAAACGTTTGGAGGGGTAGGAGCGCCTTTTGTGTTATCTCGTATGCTTTTTACTTCACAGCGGCACCAATATAAATTTGAGATTGCCTGAACTTATGAGCAAACTCCTTGGCCTGTTTATTACGTTTCCGTTCCCTTAGGCATTGGAAGAGTCAGGGCTGTGAGCTTGCGAATGAGGTAAACATGCAATGTCTGTACAAGTTACTGCTGCACTATGCTGCACTGAGCTCATATGCCAGCTCATAATAATAAAATTAAGGACATAAGATCGTAGCTAAATCTACACTCGTCCCAGGAGCGTTTTTCCTTTTGCCTTCGCCCTGAGAGGGGAAAGGGTTCAGAGTTCCACCCAAAATCTCAAAACCTGAGCAGGCCTCAGCCAGTGTGAAGCGGGTACTGGAAAGCTTTCGTCAAATATCGTGGTATAGATGTAAATGAACATGTCTGAATGTGAGCTTTGACAGGTAAAATCAGGTCACAGGGGTCAACTTGGCATGTATTAGGTCTGTCCTGTTACCTTGAAAACTAAAGATGCTGCAGCAATACGGATCAAGGCATTGTATAGCTCTTTAAGATCAGATCGGCACTAGTGCTACGACATGCTACGACAATACGGATCAAGGCGTTGTATAGCTCTTTAAGATCAGATTGGCACTAGTGCTACGACATGCTACGACAATACGGATCAAGGCGTTATATAGCTCTTTAAGGTCAGATCGGCACTGGTGCTACGACATGCTACGACAATACAGATCAAGGCGTTGTATAGCTCTTTAAGATCGGATCGGCACTAGTGCTACGACATGCTACGACAATACGGATCAAGCCGTTGTATAGCTCTTTAAGATCAGATTGGCACTAGTGCTACGACATGCTACGACAATACGGATCAAGGCGTTGTATAGCTCTTTAAGATCAGATCGGCACTGGTGCTACGACATGCTACGACAATACAGATCAAGGCGTTGTATAGCTCTTTAAGGTCAGATCAGCACTAGTGCACATCGACATGGATGATCTTTCATGTGCTACGTCAGCCCAAAGCGGTGAGATGAGTGTTGAATTGACTAGTCCGGCTTTATCAAATACTTCACAAACCACAAGATAAACAAGTTGGATCTTTGAAGGGACCATTGGAATGCCCTCCAATGATGCAACATATGCACCAATAAGGATTCAGTAATATGTCCTTGACAGAACTAAATCTGGTAGCTAGTATGAGTTTTGACCTAGATTAACACTGGCTTGAATGCCCTCGCTAGGGCTACCACAAGGGTAGTAACGTCCAACTACATCGTGATAAGGTTAAGCAGAACAATCTAAGAAAGTTTCTTTAAAGCGCATTCCCTGTGAGAAATAATCGTTATCTGTTGGTTGTTTATGGTTTCGGGTGCATCGATTGGCGAGTCTAAAAAACAGCACATAGTTCCTCAGTTCACGCCTGCAAG